ATATATATATATATATTTCTTAGTAGTAACATAGTTAGTAAATAGTTAGTAAATAAGATTTACTAATAATATTTAACTTAATAATTTTTTCATGTTTTTAAAATTGTATGACATTTTTCTATAATATCATTGTGATACTTGCTGCTGTATCTTCTCAAGTAACATTTCTAATCTATCTTTCATTACAGGCTGTCCTTTTTTTGTTTTCTTTGAGAGTTTTTTGTATGTTTGCATTCTTTTCTCTTTGTACTTCTTAAGTGCTTCTTCCTTTTCTGTTTGCACTCGCAAAGCTTCTTCTTTCTGTTTTCTTTCTTCATCTTTTTTGTGAAGGAATTGTTGTTTTGCCTTTTGAAATGCACTGACCTTTTGTTTCCTTTAAACAAACACGAATTTTGGGGATCAACATGAATTTTTAAATTTTTATTTCTTATATAAAATTTACTAATTATACAGTAGTATGTATAAATATAGTAAATATTTAGTAAATATACATACTCGTATTTATCAGTTTTAAAAGTAGATTTCTTTAGATTCTGTAGCTGATCCTTATCAATCTCTTTGTAAAAATTTCGTAAGACAGCTTTCTTTCTGCGTTCCTCCCATTGATTAACTGGAATATATAATGAAATTAAATAAGTAAAAATTATATTCCTTAAATCTAATCTAACCTATACGTAAACCAAATTTCTCGATAGTCTCACAAACATACTTCTATATTTATTACTGTACTTCTGCAGCCTATACCTCTTCTTATTAAATGGTTTTTTTTCATTGTTTACATTTTCTGATTGCTTTTTATTATAAATATCTTTAACTTGCCTCTTCATGATTGTTAACAAACTTCACAAGATGTTAATTAGTTCTGACAGTAAACGCAAGAGGGCCTAGGATCAATTAAATGGCGCGTTAATCGAATGAAATGTATGTTTCTGTTCACATTGTATGTATATTGAATAATTACTGTATAGAATGTATTTTTTTCATTTACCAGCTTCTATATATTATTACATATGTACATAAACATTTATTATTAACTAACATTATTTAATGTGTCCATAGAAATTAAATATAAATTTGCTGATTTAAAATAAACTTCTATTTATAGTTATCTAAAAATATACTAAACAGCGTTAACGTAATATATTTATTTTTTACAGTATCATCTATCATTATTATTGTTTAGTAAATACAACTGAATGAAATATTGATATGATATTTATTTCCTTATCAGCTAAATTTTTCCTTATCGGAGTCAAAAATTGCAACATAACGATTACAATGTCACAGTGTACTAGGAAAACTAAATTAAAAAGAAGTCACACTTGCACAACCAACTATAAACACTTGTCATCGCATTACGTATTGTTTGTTAGTTTATTCGTGGCAGTGACATTGGTCACTACCGTATTTATTCGCGTCCATTACCATTTTTTTTACACATGAAATGAATGAAATGAAAAATGATCATCAAATATGGTATCAAATATGGTCTATAAGATTCCTATGGTTTACAATAATTTCTGACAAACTAAGAAAGAATTTCATATTATATTCATGTAATTAAATATATTCAATATTCACGAAGACTTTTTGTATTTCATATTTTTCAAATGTAACACATATGTTTATAAAAATTCATGTTTCAAAGTTTGAAAGTTTTTATGATTGTTTATTCCATAAACAAATTGTCTTTTATGCTTCCATACTTTATTAACAATCATTTTTAGCTGTTTGATGCAGTAGGTAGGAGTGTATGCCTGTGTGTGAATTTAGAGCACTGAGATATGATTTAACAAGCGAACAGTTTAATTTATTTAGTTAAATTTAGTTGAACTGTATCGTTTATGTAGTAAATATACCCGTGCATAAATGCTATAAGTAGTTACAGCTGGATCATGTTGCAAATCTACATACGTAGTGCGAATGTTACAACAAACCGGTTAGGATCAAGTTTCACAGGTTTACAAAGAAATGATTGAAAATTCGGTACTGTAACATTTATTCTTCTTGATGGTAGACTCGTTTAGTGTTGTTTCACTGATTATGCTTTTGTCAATTTAAGAAAGAAATATCATACTTATTTTATTTATAATTTTCTTCTAAATTTTCTTTTAATTATGAACATAAATGTTTCTTTCATTAAATAACTCCGATTATTGAATTGAATCACTTTTTCAATGTTTTACATGTTTTTAACAACTGTGCTTTAAGAGTTAATAAAATTTGTTATTAAATTGTAATCCTGCAATTTTACTAAATATTATACATACAGATATTAAAAATTGAAAGTAATCTTAATTCAATGATTAGGAGCTACAATATATCATGTATAGAATACATATGTAGTAAGTATGTCATATGTAACAATGATTTAAGTAGACGTGCCGTTGAATTATTATGAAGATTGAAATTGGAGGAAGAATTTGGTCGAAAGGCTGTACAATTTTGCTGAATTCTTTCTTCTTGTCCTGCTACCAAAGTAAAAGATGGACACTATGATATCAGTGAATGACATCACGGCGCGTTAACCTCAGATCCCATTTGTACTCAAGTCAGTAGTGAGGATGCGAAGTCGTCGTACGACAATACCAGTCAACCTCCTCATTCAATCGTTCTAAGTAAGCCAGATACAAATGATTATTAAGTGCTCATTGTCTGCTTGCTAGCGAAGTGAATGAAATTACCTTTTATCATCCTGGCTGTGTTATCAACACCTACTCCAACAAATTGTTTCTAAATTAGCGAGCGGTTTCTTTTTGTTTCTTTATCTAACAAACAATAATTAGCATAATGGAATTTCTGTTTCTAAGAGGACTGTAAAAAGTTTCTATTACTAAGAAATTAACAAGACAATTATCTTCTAAATGATATCATAGAAAATTTGAAATCATTTTGCAAAGTTATTTATTATTGCTTAACCTTGCTGTTCTCCATTTTTTTTATTTTTTTCACAATACTTTACTTATAAAATTACTATTATTTATAAAAAGCGTGAATTGTATAAAAGGTCGTAAAATTATAAATATGAATATTGAGAGCCTTTAAAATTTCAAATACTTCAAAACTTTAATAATATTTATCTGTTTTGATATAATATTCATTTTGGATTATATAAAGTCCAAAAGAATAGCAGTCTTAAATTGACATAGATTTAGTTCTTTAGTTTTATTCTAAAATTCTGCGCGATCGAAGGAAATTGCCGCAAAGAAAAATCAAGAAATGGCAGCAATTCGCGCGGTACC